GAAAGATTCATTTCTATTTCGATTCTATCTCGAACGAGATAGAGTCGAACAAATTCGCAAATACTTTGATGCATTTGATACTTAGTTTTAAGTATTATAACTAGCACTTCGCACTATCGCGATTTAGTGTTTGAAATATTTAATATAATTCAATATAAAGAATAAATTGAATAAAAATATTGCAAGAAAATGCACTTTATTTTTATTTCAATTCGATTTTATTACTGTATAGTAAAAATGCGAAGTGTTATTAGGTCATCGAGTATAATTATCTGCTTGGACATTCGATTAATTGTACTCGTGTATATGTTAATGAACTCTAAGTTCATTGATGGTCCACGAGCTTGAATAACTAACGGAAAATGTACATTAATTTTGTAATAATTGAAAATTAGAATCATCAAACAAAATACGAGTTAATTTGCAAAACAAAGTATGAGAAATCTTATCTTGCTCGCGCGTAGAAAATGTCCATTGCAGTTTTCAGGGAATGAAGAAAGAAGAGGCTAAATGCCGAAGAGGCTAATGCCGAAGAGGCCTCCACTTAAATGTGGTATCAAGTGGGCAACTACTATTCAGGCTATTGAGTTATTTTCTAAAGTTCAACAGCAAGTTCGAACTTTTCGAGAATAGCTCTTTAGTCATTTTTTATATTTTATTGTATAATTTTGTTGCTCGTCATTAATTTGTAATTGTATTTGGAGATGATGGACCATTCCATCTCCTTATTACGCCAAACTTATTCTTGAATCTTTCAAAAGATGCACAAGTTTTTTGTTAGTTTATAGAGTCAAAACTATTTAGATTTGCATTTTCTTAAATATTAAACTTAATTAACGATCGTTAAGCATCACAATAATTTCTCTTACCTTTTTTGTCTTTAAGATTTTTAACTTTGATTGAATATACATTTGGAATAGTTTTTTTTTTGTAAAGGACGCGGTAAAAAAGTAATACACATTTAATAAAGTAGATTTTATTTTTTTTTTTTTTAGGAATATAATTTTTGAAACTTTTCCATTTCTTAATTATTATATATTAAATATAAAATCACGCGCGTTTAATTTTAATTTTATGCAACGTGAAATAGAGATTGGATAAAAATAAATAAGGAATTAAATTTAAAAGTGCATCTGCTAATTTGGCGACTTGTATTTTATGATTGTGTTTATTGATTGTATAATTAATATAGTTTTCTTTCTATTACAGGTGATCATCGTGGGATTAAACTTCAATCCTCTTCAATTTCTTGCTTTTATTTTTTATTATATATATATATATGTACATGCATTTCTGAAGGCACGTATACACACACAAAATATAAAATATAATTTTTATAAATTTAAAAATGAATGAACTTTTCAATGAATTTTCGATGGATCATCTTCTTAAATACCAAATCGAGGAACTCTCCGATTGTCAGACTGCAACACTTCCTACAAAGTAGGCGTATTTCGGAGTCATCGCAGAATAACATGTTATTCGGCCTTACATGCAATGGTTCGTATTTAATTTATCTAATCGCGATTGAAAACCTTTCGGGTAGGATCTTTGGGCTGGGACCTTACGGTGAGATCTCATATGATGGGGCTTTGGATGCATAATTTAATTTTACTTAAATCTTATTGTTGGTTACGTCGTGGTTTAAATCCCAGTCGGAAAAATAAGGAAAAAAAATGGAAGTTAAGTAGGGGTAATTCTTTAGTGTTACGCTCCTGAGGGTCGTTCGTGTTCACTCGAATAGTAGGGTGAACAAGTATATGGTAGGGATGTCGGGAAAGGCATGAACTGCGATGTAACGTCGATATCGCGTTCTATACTAGATGCCGAGACGCTAAGTGGGGGTGAACAGGGTATAGGGGAAAGTTTCACATGGCTAAAATAATCGATAACGCGACCGATACGTATGTATGTGTGTAAGTAAGTAACTACGTATCTACGTAGCTATGTATATATGTAATACGTGTATAAGAATAACTACATAGAAACGGTCACGTGGTCATATAAAACCGCTTGCGCGCAATACAGGCAAACAGACAAATAGAAACAGAGCAAAAGACAAGAATATGAAGCTTTGGAAATATATTTGGACATGTAGGAATCTGTGTAAGTATAATTGTATATACGTATCCGTGTCATCGTTGTAAAATCATCCATCTATTAAGTGTTTGCAAGTTAGTATGTGTTGGTATGCATGTATATGATCGATGATAAAAAGAAAACACATGGAAAGTTGAGAACGCTCGAGTAGATATATATATTGAAAATTACTCGTATAAATTCTTCAACAAAATCATATCATTTATAGAATTCAAAAAATATTATTTTTTTCTATCGAGTTTTTTATAATAGAATTCTTTGTTTTGTTTAATCAAAATCGGAGCGCAAGAAAGATCTACAGATCGATGCAGGATCGAATTATGGAATACTAGAATTCTCTTTCCATCTTCTTTTGACTACACCTACCTTTCTCTTTCACTCTATTATGAATGTGTTTGTGTGTGTGTGTTTTTCTCTCCCTCTTCCTCTCGTGGAACGTTCATCGATTTCCAAAGCTTTCGACGAACACTGCGCAAGGCTTTCTCTTTCGCGACACGAGGGTGGAAATTTTTGGAGAAAGAGGTCGAAGAGAGAATCATTCCGATCGATAGAATTGTTTTTCGATGATAGAAAAAAAGAAAGAAAGAAAGAGGCAGCAAAAAAAGGAAAAAACAAGAAATAAATTACTTTTATTATATAGTAATGAACTTTTCTCTGTAAGTGGACAAATTTATACCATAGCAAATTGAAAGAAAAATATTAATGTACTCTATATATATATATAATAAACATGTATATATGTATATATATGTAATTAGGTATTAATATAATGAATACATGTATCTGTACGTATATGTGATTATGGAGTAAAAAATTAATAGATGAGATCGATATAGTTCGCTTATTTTTCTTTCATTTTTCTTTCATTTTTCTTGCATTTCTCATTAATAGACAGATATTTTTGAAAAAATGTTCATTCTTAACGTCATAAACCATATTTCAAAGGTTCTAAAAATAAAAACATAGAAATCCCTTGAGCAAGAATAAAAAGAAGAAGAAGAAAGCCCTATAACTTTATTCATCGTAACAAGAAAAACAACTTTCAAGAGAAGGTTTCTTCGAAATATTAAGCTGAAGTAGTAATACCCAAGAGCTCCAAAAGTCTCGACCCTTATGTTATATAAAAAAAAGAAAAAACCGAAAGGCAGTTGATCGGTTTCCTTTGACCACTTTCACGGAGTAATATACCGAGAAACGCTTTAGCACGCGTACGAGACGGTGGTTAACATATGATCGTGAGCACACGCGAAGCTACGATATACAGGATGATAGGGGCCTGAGAAGCAAGACCTAAGAGAAAGAAAGAGAAAAATGTACAAGAAAAAGAGAGACAGAGAATAAGAAGGGGAAATAGATGAAGAGAAGAAGAGGGGTCAGTCTTTGGGTCTCTTAGCTAAATGGAGGGGGCCCCCTGCCGTAAAGGAGGGCTCACCTGCCGCCAGGTGCGAGTATTCGAACCATCTGCTTGAAGGGCTCGTGCCACGAAACCGTTTTCTTTTTTACATTGCTTACTTATCTTCCGGTGTATGTATGTGTACAATTTACTTGTAGGCGCGTCCACTCTTGTATGTTGGTTTTTATATACGTGTAAGTACGTATACATATATGAATGAAACTAATACAACAATGTGACATGCGTATGTCGTCTTAACACGCGACATAATTACGATACTATACGTCACGAACGACGAACACGATGGTAATGGTGATGATGGTAGTGGTGGTAGTAGTAGTAGTGGTATAGTGGGGGTGGTGCTTCAACTGGAAGTTAAAGACTTGAAACTCTGACGTTCATTGCCTTTCTCATTTGGGATCGACCTTATTGAAAAAAAATCTATCGCTAATTTTTAAACAAACTACTTTTTTTTCATGACAGCAGAAGTTTCATTGACTTTTTTTTGGATATTTCGTAAGTTGAGGATCTATTGGGATTGATTTTTATCGTTAAACGTTTATTAACATGTTGTTAGACATCATTCATTCATCTTCAAGATTTAATTAAGAAATAAAATAGTTCAAATCTTTTTCTTCTAAGATAATTTTCTTTCAACAAGATATATTATTTTAGTTTTTAATCATACTCAGCGCCAATCGTGATGCTCATCTCTTCAGAAACAATTCTAGTTTGGTGATACCATCTATTCGTGTCCAAGACAACTAGAAAAACGACAACGATCGATGAATATATTATATTGTATAAATAGAATCGCTTGCTATTTTATCACTTACTTATCTCTCCGGTTTGTACGACCACTTCCAATTGTTTACACGCGTAATGACATTCTCTCGGTGGCTGTAAGATCCATAGTTTCTCACCCCTTATTTGTGCCTGCCATGAAGGATGCTCGACGTCATCTACCTAGAAAAAATTAGATATTAGAATCGATCGCGTTTCCTCTTTCATAAATACAAATTAACTATAATTAAAAAACTTACATGCATCGGTGCTCCATATCCATGGCTCCCCATAAAAATCCAATCAGTTTTCTCACTTTCCGCTGTAAGTGGCAAGAAATATGGTCTCTGATAATGTTGCCTCAACACAGTGCCAATTCTACCATCACAATTGCTCCTGCAAACAGATTTTTTATTCCCTATTGAAGTTAAATCCATTTTAATCAAATTAAAATGACCACGATACTAATTACATTAATTACCAATTAATTATTATGATTATTTGAGTAATTAAAAACTACTATCCACATACATCGTAATAAAATGAAAAATAAAACTTCCATTTCTAGGTAATCGTTCGCTTCTCTTCGCGTAGTTAGTATTAGTTTGCTGTAAGCTTGTTAATGCGATTATGTGAGTTCGTGCACGCGTCCATCGTGACGGTTATGGAGGCCTGTCAAGTGCATCGGATAATATACCCTCGAATTCCTTTTTCGTATCTTTCTTTTTATTTTCTTGTTTCTTTTTTATTACGCAGAGAACAATTTTATTTGATCTATTATTTAGGCTTTGAAAAACTACTGCGTTAAATTAAAACACGCGGAACGTCCACCATAAATCGTACACGTTTCCTCGAGGGCCTTAATTTAAACTTCACTCTGAAGTATTATAAATAAATAGTATATATATATATATATATATGTTTTTATAATTTATCTGTTTTATGCTAGATTTTTATAATTGTTTTCCTTTAGATTTTCTTATTTTTAGATATAGGAGTGATAATAATCGCACGAATTATATTTCAATTGATTTGAACGTTAATTTAATAAAATTATTTGTACACGCATACACATATAATAAATAAAATAAATAAAACAGAAATGACTTACCAGCCAACGTACCAAGGCTTCGTACCAGCTTGCAAAAGAGATCTACTGGTACTCATATTGAAAACGTCCTGCAAACTTCGGAATTCGGTTTTGTACGGAAAAAACTGACAACCAGCTTGTTCTCCTTCATAAAGAGATTTAAAAAAAGAATAGCTAAAGATTTTTGGAGCCGTCCAATTGGTCATCGCATCCATTATAACAACCGGTCTTCCAGAATATGCATAACTAATGATGAATATTAAAAATCATTTAAGCATTGATTAATTTATAGTCTTACAATCACAGACAAATTGAAATGAATTTGAATACCGTTCTTCGAAGACAATAGGATCTATGTTCGATAATTTATCGATATGTTGAATGTCCCGACAGATGGAACAATCTTCCGGTGGGCGAAATATTTTCTGCGTTACTACCGGATATTCCACTAAGCACTGCAAAAGTTATATCAATCGTCATAACGTTAATCATTCATTATTGCAAATTAATTAATTCATCCTTTGAAGAGAATATTAAGGAAATAAATAAATACCTTATCGTAACGATAAGTAGAGATAAATTTCCTAGTAGTTTGTCCGAAAAACCAGAGCAATAGAAATCCTAGGATCCACAGGTGTTTACCGTGAATCCTTATTCCGATCGATTTGCGTCTCGAATTAGCACGTAGTAGAGTTAAAGCACGAGCGAATGAATTAAGCTCGTCAATTTTGTTAATAATCGAACTAAGATCTTTCTTAACTGATTCGTACGACTTCCTCTTGGAGGAGTCAACAAATTTGTCTTCGATTTCTGTTGTCCCCGTCATGCCGGTCTTGATAGTCCGTAGCGAACTGATACGAAATCCTTTCTCTCTACTTCACAGAAGCTGTACCACTACTATTATTACTACTATTACTACACAACTACCACTAGGATACTCTCTACGCGTTGATCGGAACCGCGCATCGTAAAGGGGTTAGGGGTGAGGGTAAAACACGCCCGTTCCCTTGTTCACCGAGCTGTGAAACGAGGAAGGAATCCTAGATCGGGATTACAGATTGATTCTACCTATCAAAGCTAGTCTCTCTCTTTCTTTCTCTCTTGCTGATCGAACATGGGACCTACTAAATCGAGATATTCTCTATGTTAGTTCTATATAGTATGCATGCTACAATTGTGATTAAAGAAAAAAGGAGGAATAAGCACAAGAGATTTTTTATTTTTATTAACAAAGCAAAATACTTCAGTCGTAGTTGTTCATTATAATTGAAAAGTCGACAATAAACCATTACTATTATTATCAAGTCAAATATACATTTTTGGAAATAGTTTATATATCATTTTAACGAGATATTACGATGATCGTAATAATAATGATAGCGATAATAATGATAGTGATAATAAAAGGAATCAAATGAAATAAAAAAGAAATGTAATATTACACATATTCTTCTTCTAATATCTACATATAATTCGAGTTCACACGAACGAGAAATAGTATCGATATAACTCTGCATGTGGGCGAATTCGATTTAAACGCGTCTTCTTATCTCCTGAACCAGGTGGCTGTGCTCAACGAACCGAACAAATTTTTCCCGTTAAATAACGATCATCGATCTGAATTGTGCCATCTTCCTCCTTTTTTCTTCTTCTCCTAATAAGATTTTTACACATTCCAAATACTTCAGATTTACACTCAAATTTCAATACTTACATACGAATCTATCTATTTCAAATCTTTATAATTATTACAATTTTGAACAAATAACTTCTCATAATGAATACCGGATTATATCGACGAACTTTACAAATTGTAGAACATGTAAATTCTTATTAATTTAACTAAATTTAATGAGATACATTGTCCTTTGTTAAAGATATTTTATTAAAAAAAAAAAAAAACGAACGCGAAATAATGATTAAATTATTTTAAATAACTAGAATTTCTTTTCATATCCATAATGATAAAATTATTTTAAATGTATTAAAATTAAGTAATATATAGGTATTAATTAATGAAATCAATTTTAATGTACTTATTTGAATATACTAATTTACAATGTAGAGCAATAAATATTATACTTACTTACATCTTCTCTCTCTCTCTCTCTCTCTCTCTCTCTCTCTCTCTCACACTCTCTCTTTCTTCGTTGTAACTAATAATTACGAAGAAAAAAAAACTAGTTAGGAAATAAAAAATGTAAAAGAATTCTTTTTTTACATTTCGTTATTTAAAAATAGCAATCAATCGCAACAGAAGTTTCGTCCTTGGAAAATAATTTCCATACGATTGGAAAGAAACATGAGATAGATGGTATCAGGTATATATAGGTGGGTAGGTAAAATGATTCACTTCGACGACTATTCAAGAGACACAGACGAGATTACGCGCGTAGAATAGAATGCCAGAGCCTTTTACAATTGCAAATTGACAATCCGCAGGGCAATCCATGCCTTAATTAACGATCAGCCTCGAATCAAGTGGATTACTTGCTTTCCGTTGTGCGTTTGAATTTTATGAGATTCCAAGAAGGCAAAGATAAAAAAGAAATATACTGAGTGTCCCACACAAAATCGTACGTCCAATTATCTATATAACGCGAAACTATTCTTTAAATAATACAAAAAAAGATATTTAAACAGAACTAAAAAGTAAGTTTTGAACATATTGTAGTAAATGTTAATATAATCAAGATTTTTTTCTTATCCAAAATTTATTAATATTATTACTAAGT